TCATTCCTGAGGACCCCTACCCCCTCCTCTGGCCCCTCAGAGCCAAGGGGTCGCAGAGGCCTTTCCTCCTTGGGTCCCATGGGCTCAAGGGAGGGTGGGCTCCTCGATTCTCTTCCTGGCGCCCAGCAGAGGGCAGCACACTGTGGGGTTCCAGAAGGTTCTGGAAGTCAGGGAAGGTGCTTGGGGTGGTGGGGTCGGCTGCCCGTGTCAGGCTCAGCACCAGCAGGAAACCTGCCCACCAGGGGTCTCCGGATCCTTCCTGGGACCTCCTGGGGACCCTCCCCTGTCTCACTAGCCGGCCCCCCCAAGCACCCCTCATAGCTTCTCCACCCATATCAGACCCACCCATCCATCCCTGGCAACCCTCCCAATGCCCTCAAGGGCCACTCAGGCCCCTGACGGCCCCCTCCTCAGGTGGCCAGTGTCACAGCTGTTCAACTGCGGCTCGGAGGTGAAGGGCCCCTCTTGTGATGAGAGCCCCTCCCGGAGCTTCCTTTTCTGGGAAAGGAGGGTAGGGACGCAGCCCCACCTCCTCCCAGGCTGGGGACGCGCCCACGGCTGCGAGGCCTCTGGGTGCCCTGCACCCGGCCCTGGCCCCCAGGCAGCACCTCCCTCCTGTTTGCTCAGCGCTGTCGCCTCCTGACTCACTGGTGAACCCCACACCCGGGGGACCCCGCCCGGCGGCACCTGGACCCAGGCTGCATGCAGGACTGTGTGTTTCTAGTTCTGTGTGAACGAGGGGTGGGACACCGGGGGGCTGCTGGCGGCCGCAGTGGGGAGGCTGGGAGGCGCGTCCAGTTCGGACACTTCACAGGCAGGGAGACCGAGGCTGGCCTCACCTCAGCATGCCGCGCCCACCCCTTCACCCCTTCACGGGCAGGCCGGCTCCCCAGGCCCTGGCGCATCCTGGGCTCTGGGCTCCCGGGCAACTCGTGCCCCGCCCCACCGGGCTCCATCTCGGTATGAACCAGCAAGATGGCCGCTGATTCTGACCCGATTTTAATCACCCAGCCACAGGCTCCTCTGTTGTCTGGGCCATTTGCATGCACACCCTGCATCCCCACTGCTCTGAGAGTGTGGCGAGGGGACAGACTGGCCACACGCCTGTCTCTGCCCAGGGCTCGGCCAGCCCCTCTGCAGCCTCATCCCTGCGAAGCCCCCTTGCAGGGCTGTGTGGTCAGGGCCTCTCGGGTGACCAGGCGTCCCCACTGGGAGGGTACTCTGAACCCCAATGGGCCCCACCTTCCGGAAACCTCCACTGAGCGAAGGTTCACAGGACCCGAGCCCGCCCCATTCCCTAGACTCAGGTGCTCAGGTCTGCCCGCGTACACTGTGGAGATCCATGCAGCTGTGGAGGGGGTGTGTATGCCCGTGTACATTGTGGAGAGTGTGCAGCTGTGGAGGGGGTGTGAATGCTCGTGTACACTGGAGAGCTGTGCAGCAGGGTGTGAATGCCCGTGTACACTGTGGAGAGCTGTGCAGCGGGGTGTGAATGCCCGTGAACACTGTGGAAAGCTGTGCAGCGGTGGAGGGGGTGTGAATGCCCGTGTACACTGGAAAGTACACCTCCTCAGCTATGCACACTTAGCACAGGGGCTGCAACAGCCTCCCGGCAGTCTAAGACCCAGTGGCCTCAGTTTCCTCAGCCGTGAAGCTGGAAGGATGCCGCCTTCCCTCCCCCCCCCACCCCCCCCGGGGCATCACGAGGGTGCAATGAGGTGGTGAGTCAGGTGGCCGGGGTCTGGCCCAGGGTGGGTTCTGGACACAGTGGTTGCCCAGCCCCTGCTCTCTGGAGCTCAGAGCCCACCCTGCCAGCTGGGGCAAGCAGGGGGCCTGGCCGCGTGACTCAGAGCGTGGCCGGGGCCCAGATTCCCTTCCGGTGCCACCGGTGCCCTGAGTTTCAACCCCAGCGTCGTGGGTGGCGGTCAGGCCGGCCCCCTCAGTTTGGCCTCTGCTAGAAGCCGGGCCTCCTGCTTGCTGTGTGGCTGGGGCAGCTGGGAGCCAGCCCGCCTCAAGGCAGCCGTGGGCCTGTGGGTGCCCCTCCCTTGGCGGGTCCCAGGCGAGGCCCCCGAGGAGGGGCCACAGGCTGGCGGCGTGAGCAGGAGAAATCGTGTCTCCCTGCCCCGGGGCTGTGTGGGGTCCTTCCGGGGCCGGCCCCCGTGTCCTCGCGCAGCCGTCCCTCTGCGGCCTGTGTCCAGACGCCCCTTTTCCTGAGGGGGCCCCGGTGACGTGGGGTTAGGGCTTCTGCATCAGGATGGCCTCGTCCTGGCTCACTGGTCTCAGCCGTCGTGTCTCCAGACAAGGGTAGGCCTGAGGTCATGCAGGTTGGGACTCCAGCATACATATTTGGCGGGATGGGGACACCGTGTGACCCATGACAGCCCAGCTGGCTGCTTGTGGGGGACCCCATGGGAGGGGGCGGCCTGGGAGAGGGGAGCGGCCGGGGGCTGCGGGCGTCAGGCTGCCCCCGTGGGGCAAGCCCCCTGCTCACTGCCTCATCTCCCCTGCCTGCTGCCCTCCCGCGACCTGCGACCACTGCTGCGCTGGGGAGCCGCTCTCCGGGGAGCACGGGGCGGGCCCCGCGGGCAGGTGCCGGCCGGGCCTTTTCCTTCTCTGGACCCGAGCGTGAGCCCGGCCTCCCAGACGGAGGAGGAGGGTGGGGTGACTGAGCTGCCACGTGGATGAGCCCCAGACACTCTGAGCGCATCGCACGTTCCAGGCACAGGAGACGTCCCAACAGGAAGCGAACTCACGGTTGGGGCCGGGATGCGGGGGCACTGCTAACGGATGGGGTTTCCATTTGGTGCAACGGACTGTTGTGGAGCTAGATCCTGGTGGTGGCTGCACAGCCTGTGAGTGTACCAGGAATTGCTGACTCGAACCCTTAAACGGGTGGATTTTATGGTACGTGAATTACATCTCAGTTTTTAAGAAGGGGACTCTATCAAGCGGTGAAACTATCCGATTAGCAAACAGTGTTAAAACCCAAAGCTGGTGGCCCTTCAGCCCCGCCACCTGCGAGGCGGTGGGACCGAGCCCAGGGCCACCCCTCCGCGCGGCAGCTCCCGCGGGCCTGCGCTCAGGCCAGACTGTCCCCCAGCCCGTCCCCTCTCTCCCCAGACTCCTGCGGGAACAGTGGATCCGGGCCAAGTACGAACGGCAGGAGTTCACCCACCCCGAGCGGCAGGAACCCTACTCCGCAGGTGAGGATGCCGGCACCTGTCCGTCTGTCCTTCTGCCCCGTCTCTCTGTCCCCCTGCCCCTACCTCCCAGAGCTGGAGCAGGGTCCTTAGGAACCTGGGCGACCGCTTAAGTGGTCTGAATCCGTGTCCATCTGTTGGCCCCTGACACCAGCCGGCTGACCTGGCACCAGGGGTCCCCGCAGCTGCTCACAGCCCAGCCCTGAACCCCGACCGAGGGGTGGGGGGCTGCCCAGGGCCCTCCAGGCTGGTGGCAGCAGCACCTCTGCCCTGGGAGGGCCCGCAGGGTGGGTGGGTCCTGGCAGGAGGGGTGTGGATGGGCCTGGGCCAGGTGGGCCCGGGGAAGGGGGGCCAGGCCCCGGGGGCTCTGTCAGCACACGGGTGGCCCAGGTGTCTGTCGCGGGATCGGCCCCTTTATCCCCCATTGGCCAGGAGGGGCTCTGCGTGCAGCCCACGCTCCTGCACAGCAGGCGGCTCCAGGGCCTCTCTCCTCCTGAGCCCCTGATGTGGCCCAGGGCTGGGATGCGGCCGGGATTCAATTACGGTCCACCCCAGAGAGCCACCTCCTCCTCTCCTGGTGCCCCCGACGTGCGAGGGAGAGAGGACGTGGGCGCCCGTGCCTGTTCAGCCCTGGGGCGCTTGTGTCCCGTCCTGCCTGAAACCTGGCCTCCCTGCTCTGGGACCCCAGGAAGGCTCACCCCACAGCCTTTGTCTCCCAGGCATAAACATCTCAGCGTTTTATAACGTGTGGCGTGCGGCCTCGATTCAGAGGCAGGTGCAGGATTTTGTGCCTGCTCCTGCATCAGGACCTCTGGTTGTGAGCCACAGTTGTCCAGCCCAGTTGGGTGTAAGAAGAACAGGGAAAGGAGCGGCTCGCACAGCTGCTCTGGCTTCAGGCACAGTTTGAACCAGGCGCTCAGTCGGCGCTCAGTCGGCGCCGTCAGGACTTGGCTCGTGTCTCCCGCTCTGGTTCTGCTTCTCGGGGTGGCACCGCCCCTGCCGGTGGTGGCTTTACTGCCGCAGGTCCAGCCTTTTCACCTGGGTTTGGAAACGCCTTTGGGTTCCATGAGAAAAGGGCAAGTGTGACTTTCACCCAAGTGTCAGGAAAAGTCTTAGCTTTGGTTCCGACTGGTCAGGGGTGGGTGTGTGACCTAGTCACGGTGGCCGGGAGATGTGTGCGCACCGGCCCGCTTCTGGAGCCCTCCCGCGAAAGTGGGGCTGTGCACAGGGTGGCACGACAACAGACCTTCCCGTCTTGAGTTGCTGCCATTCCTCTCGTGAAACGACACCTCGGGAGTGCTTGGGGTGCAGGGCAAGGGGACTGGGATGGGGAGAGCCCGTTGGGGGTGCACACGTGGCGGGACGGAGCAGGCAGCCTTTGAAGGCCGTGGCTTCTCCGTCAGACCCTTGGGGCAGCGAAGAGCAAAGGCTGGGGCCCACCTGTGGAGGCGGGTCCTTGTCTCACCTGGATAGGTTGTGTTGGGGGCCGCAGAGGGCCAGCCCTCACGGGGCACAAGGGGAGCGAGCTCAGCTGGGCCCAGGGACGCTGCTGGGGTGCTGCTGAGGGGGCACTGGGCGGGGTGCAGGCCCCGCAGGGGGTGACGGTGAGAGCTTGGCTGGAGCAGGCGGTGCCGGCCCCCACCCCGGGGGCCCTGGCTTCCCACTGGGCAGCAGCTCATCCGCTGGAAGGGCCCTATGCATGCGTTTCCCCATCTCTGATCGCCCGGCCCCTGCAGCTCTGCAGCCTCCCCCCGACTCACACGTCACCTCCGGCGTGGGGGGCCCCAGCCTCAGGCCTTGTCTCTGCTCCCCACACGAGGCGGCAGCTGCTCGCGGCCTCGGTGCAGAGACCCTTAATGGGGCTCTGATTCCCATTTCTCTAAGCCCACCCATCCTGCCCAGAACGCTAACGCCCCCTCTCCCTCGAGCCCTGAAAATTCACGCCTGTGGCTCCCCACCGCCCCCCGCCCAGCAGAGCCCTGAGATTTACAGGCACAGAGTCCTGGGTGTGTGGGGCCCTGGGGACCATCAGCTTGGTCCCCTGACTCCACAGAAGTGCTCACCAAGCCACCCGCGGGGCAGGGCCCCTCAAGGAGACATGGGGAGTGCCCGGGGCACCAGCTGCTGGGATCCACCTGGGTTCCCAGAGGTCCCTGAGCCCTGGCTCTGTGCGCCGGTCCTGAACAGCCTCTGAATCTCACTCCCGGCAGAGCCCCCCCTCGCCCACCTGTCTCCCCAGAGCCCGCCACCTCCCCCCACAACCCCCAGCCTCCTCCTGAGAGAGGGCGGCGTTCAGGAGACCCACCACTTCTCACAGCCGCTGCTGCCTGGCTGCCCGGGGCCCCTGGACCAGAGCCCGGCCTGGCACTCTGTGGGGATGGTGGGCAACCAGGCCCCCGGCCCACCCACCCCTCCTCTCGCCC